TCCAGTCACCCCATCTTCCCCCTTCCATCTCTGCGCCTGCACTACAGGAAGCAGCCCACTCATTCGCATGCATGCACGAAAACACATTTATGCGCATTGCAAACTCATCATCACACACCTTTTAAAGGACACATGCAATGCCAATCAGTCTCCGCATGGACACACACCCACACACACACACACAGGCTGCTGTTGATTCCACGTCAGCAGGGAGCCAGCTCACACCAGCATGTTACTGACAATTTCCTGTCCCGAATGAAGCATTCATAAACTTTGCAGTGGCAAACAGTGGTTGAGAGAGCAGAGCTGATCCCCATCCTAATACACCAACCCACCTGCCTCCTGGTTGCCTGGGCTTTGGATGAGATGGGAGAGGATCACAGTAATCGCCCCCCATATTCCAAAGCCCCTCTGCCCCACTTTTTGAGGAAGACATTATCCACCTCTCCTTACTCTTGATTCTTCTCAGTTGTCATCAGTCATCTCGTAACTAAGTCTCGTAAGGTATCACCATGAAGAGCTTTGAAGTGTATTTTCCTCACCTCATAAACTACTTTTGAACAAAACATGCTAAAACTAGCCGGAAAGTAGCGCGGATGTATCTCGCCTTAATACAATCCCGAAGGTGGGTCACAATCCGTTTCAGAATGCTGCTCCAATGTGTTCAGATTTCAAAACAACTTCCCGCCCATCTTCAGACAACTCTGTAAAGAATAGATGACAGACAATTGTAACAGCGTACAAAGTATAAAAATATGATGATGGTATTGTGATGAGTTTCTTTTGCGGGCAAAATGTGAACTGTCATACGAGTAAGATGAAGTTAAGCACAAATGTATGAAAATGTAAAAGAACAGATCTCAACTTCAACAGTGGACACTTATAATCTCAGATCTTTTTTTTTTTCACACCCTTAAATTAACCAATGCATATTTTAAATGGGCCGTTCTGACATTTTTAATGCGTCTCATTGAATTGCGGGTGTATCGCCGTGGCATTTGGTGAACACCACGTCTAGAAATCTTGAAACTCAGATATTTTTTTTTCCCTCTTGAATGACACAGTTTGGAATCACCATTGACGGCGTGGCCACCGACTGAGAATGTCTGCTCTGTGGTTTAAGTGATTTCAACCTTCTGCATGACAATATGACTGACTTATTTCCATGTCATTGCTCGCAATCACGTCATTCGTCGAGTGTTGGCTGCAGTTAATCGAATTTAAAAAAAATTTTAAACCACATCAGTCCATCTGCCATTGACTGTCGGGATCATTCAAGCGTTATTGAAAAACCTGACAAAGGTCTGCTTGCACTCAGTAGACCGCCGACCTCCACTTCAGCATATAATATCCATCCATCCATTTTCCGATCCGCTTTGTCCTCACAAAGGTCGCGGCGGGTGCTGGAGCCGATCTCAGCTGTCTTCGAGCAGTAGGCGGGGGACACCCTGAACCGGTTGCCAGCCAAGCTCAGGGCCCACAGAGATGAACAACCATCCAAGCTCAAACTCACTCAATGTATAGTAGGGGTTTCAAACTGATTTTAGTCGCGGGCCGATTTGGAGTTACGTCTTCCCTCGGAGGGCCGCTACGACAGTGAAAAAACAAAATTATTACTTGTACACAACAAATTAATAGATTGCTTGTTTTGAGATCAGTCAAGTCAATTACAATAGCTTGTTCAATTATTGTTCAAGTGAGTGTAAAGTGGGTAACAAAATTATTGTAAAATCTCAATGTTATTTATTACACATTACAATTTGACATTTCGGTACAGATTTTAGCAAGTTGGCACGTGATTTGCTTTCGCGGGCCACATAAAATGACCTGGCAGGCCCGGATCTGGCCCCCGGGCCTTGAGTTTGACACCTGTGATTTAGAGTGTTCAATCAGCCTGCCGTGCATGTTTCTGGGATGTGGGAGGAAACCGGAGTACCCGGAGAAAACCCACACAGGCATGGGGAGAACCTGCAAAATCCACACAGGGAGGCCGGAGCCAGAATCGAACCCTGCGCCTCTGCACTGTGAGGTCGACGCGCTAACCACTGGACCACCGGGCCGCCCGCATACAATATCATATATTTAATCATAATGTGGATCATAAAAATGGACGTCGCCAGAGATGCCCACTTCTGCTCCACACATACATTTTCTCATCACTATAATTGATGTGCTAGGAAGAAATGCAATTTGTCACCCTATTTCCAATGCTAACCAAAAAAAAAGAACTTTCCCCCCTGGTACGGATGATTTAAAAACTTGCTTTTGCATTTCAAACTTCAGAACAAACAGTCACCAAAGCCGCACGCAATCATCCTGACTTTGGAGATGCTGTCTCACCACAATGGCGCTAAAATGTCATTGCTCTGCATCTTTATCTTGTCAGTGTATCTGTCACCCCCCTTATCTTCAGTTTTGTCATTATCGTCGCCATTTAAAATGCGCTGGGATTTTCTCCAGTGATCGCTATCTGCTAGATATCTTTAATTGGCGGCTAGAATCATCTCATTTTGCTCCTTCCAAATGGCCCCTCAATTTCATCCCTCAATATTTTCTTCCATTAGCTTGTGATTTGAGTTTCAATATATATAATTCAACGAGGGTTTTCACCAACTCTGACAATCAGCTACCCAATAAAAACTGATCTGCGACGGGTCTTGGGTGCAAACCCGAAGTTTGGAGCGCTGCGTTAGGCTAGAATTTTTGTTTTGCATGTACCGTTGAGGCTGATCATAACCTTTGAGCTGATCTGCTTAACCTCAGCGAGGTCATTACTTTAGGACCCGAGGATGATCAGCGCTTCATTGTTCCGACCTAATTAGAGTGCCACGATGGCTGCCATCAAACGGCCGCCGCGGATGACTACATGATTTTCATCAGTTTTCCCAAATTGAGAGCCGCTATTTCATGCTTGATTTGAAACTTGCTCTTGAATGGTTCTAAATTAGAGTTCCTTTTGAAATACTCCGACAAAATAAGATATATTTATTTAAATATTTAAAAAATATAAGTTTCCTAAAGTTTTCGTTAGCAAAGTCTTAATGCTCTCTAAACCTCCAAAGGACTTGACAGGAGCAGGAAATAAAAGGGAGGAAAATGTATCTTGAGAACGAGAGTGAGAGAGAACGAGTGGGGATATGCTTTGATTAAGAGCAGTCTTCATAGCCGCTCTTTCTTCTTACACATCCATAAAGTATCTCTGCCCACATCTCTGGCTCTTATTAAAAAGACAGTGGTGTCATTTCATCCCGAAGGCAAGAAGCTGAGGATCATGTTTTCAAAAAGAAGCCTCCTTTTTCTTTTTTCTTTTTTTTTTTTTTATTTAAGCGAGAGGGTCAATACTACTCATCCTTCCTCATCTTATGGGCATGGTTGGTATTTATGTGCATAACAGCAACGCATGTCCGGCGTTTCATTTGAGTTTTGATATCAATATACAGAACAGTGGTACCTCTACTTACAAAATGAATTGGTTCTGGAAGAAATGTTTGAACTAGAAAATTTTGTAAGTAGACACGTTTTCCATGTACTGTAAGTGTCCTAATCCGTTCCAAGTCCCCCAAAATTCAGACATAAATGTTTAATGAAGCATAAAAATGCATCAAAATATGTAACAAATATATGTTACAATTAGATTATTACACAATAAATGTGAGTTGTGCATCATCTGAAAAAAACCAATGAATAGAGTAAAGAATAAAAATGATGTTCATTTCACTTTTAACTGCGTCCTTGTTGTTTTTTGCCCTCTTTAGTTCATGTTCTCTATCAGAAGTGGTTTTTGCCTGGCATTTTGTAAAGAACTGATCCTAGGACGGTTGCTTTTGTCGGCTTTTAACAATCCTTCGAAAATGTCCAAGGCAAAAATCAGCATAGTGAGCGAACACTTTTTCTGGGTGATTCACATTTACATAAAACTATCGGAACACCTCATGGCCCGAGGGGAATAACGAGGACACTAGATAAACACATATCTATCTATCTCCATCCATAGACACATACGGTCAGAGGTCCCTCTTAGCCAATGGGATGCCAGGACGATGCTCGGAAAATAGCCAATGGCAGAGCAGCTATAAGTATGTTGTTTTCAGGAAACTCTCTTACATATACATGGCGGTATTGACCAGTGTCCCCCACCCCCCTATCTGTTTGTTCAAGTGGATAACCCAACCAATTACTGTAATTAGAGTTGAGACCACCTAAGGAAGTGGACTTACCCGCTTGTGTGCGTGCGTACATGTGAATTCACCGTACTGTGTATGAATTCCAGCTGTTTGTTGCAACAAGGAAGGAGCATTTTACTGGCCACGGTGAACAACCATTTTGTAAGGTTTTGGAAATGGGAGTGCTTTCCGGCATGACACCCCTCTTTTAATGCGAGTGCATACAGTGAAATGTGCCGTTCGTAAATATTAATTGATCTGCGGGATGCCGATTGCGTTCCATTACCTTTTGTGGAGCTTCTGAGCCCATCGAACAGCCCCTGTTAGTGGCAGCAAGCATCGGCAGAATGAAAAGTTGCACCAGTGAATCATTCGGCGACAAGTGGCACGCTGTTTAATTAGGCTGAAAACAAAGTCCTCCGGGAGAATACCTTTCCCATTTTTCTCTTCTCGCTGTTGGACTCATTTGTGGCAAGGTAAATATTCAATGGGTCCCTTCTCGGCCAGAGCGATTAAAGCTCGCTGGAGCATGGCAGGAAAGCATGTTTGGAATTCAAAGCTCTAAATCAGAACACAAAGCCGCGACAGAACGTCCCCTCCGAGGGATGTCAAGTGCTTCTTGACATTCTGAAATACTGCAATGGGCCTTCCAACGCGCACTAGCCGCCACTTAAATACAATGGACTCCATGCGATGAAATAGTCCATTGTGACGGTTGGAGCGAGTGGCCTCAAGTACAATTGTTTGGCAGCAGTGTGAGTGAGAATCACACTCTTTTGGACTTATTGTTTTTTTTTTTCTATTCTCCCCCACCCCCCTGCCTTTCCCTGCCTTCAGTTCTCAAAGACCCTTGCACTGAGGTGACCTGCAGCTACGGCAGCACCTGTGTCCAGTCCACTGACGGCTTGTCGGCTAAATGCATGTGCCCGCTGGGCTGTGAGGGCAAACCAGAGCAGACGGTGTGTGGCAGCGATGGAAAGGACTACCGCAACGAGTGTGAGCTGCATCAGTATGCCTGCAAGCACCACAAGAACATCAGGGTGCAACATCAAGGTCGATGCGGTAAGATTTTGGACTTTGGGATTTTGTCACATTACAAACAACACAAGCCACCCTCCTCTGGAGCTTTCAAACTGTTTTTGTTTGAACAAATGTATTTTGCCAAGATTTTGACGACCCTAATTTCCCATGATGAATACATAAAAAAAGACAAGAACCAAACCTGTCCCACTGCATTGCACAAGGGTAGATAAAAATCCATCCATCCATCCATTTTCTGATCCGCTTGATCCTCACAAGGGTCGCGGGGCGTGCTGGAGCCCATCCCAGTCATCTTCGGGCAGTAGGCGGGGGACATCCTGAACTGGTCACTAGCCAATCGCTGGGCACACACAGACGAACAACCATCCACACTCACACCTAGGGACAATTTTGAGTGTTCGATCAGCCTGCCATGCATGTTTTTGGAATGTGAGAGGAAACCGGAGTATCCGCAGAAAACCCACGCAGGCATGGGGAGAAGATGCAAACTCCACACAGGGAGGCCAGAGCTGGAATTGAACCCGCTACCTTTGCACTGGGAGGTCGACACGCTAACCACTGGACCACTGGGCCGCCCTTGAGAAAAATCACACTTTTTTTTTTTTTTTTTTTGCATTCAATGTTTACCAGTACCTAGAGGTTATAAAAATGTGTACTTGCATTCCAACATATTTAAATGTCAAATATTACAAATGAATGCAATGTAAAATTTATTGATTATGAGTTGTCTGGTGGCGGCACGCTGGTCGACTGGTTAGCACGTCAGCCTCACAGTGGGATTGATGACACGAATCTACACGACCTGGCTGTGTTTTTTTTTTTCTATCAATACATGGGTTTCATCAAGGGCACCCATTTTGAAGATATGGACAGTATCAAGATGGCCGTGAGCACTGAGCTGTGCAGGAATCTGAAAGAAACTCTCCACTTAATTCATGAAGAAATTGAAGACTAGGAGAGTACATGCTAGAATCCAGGGGGATTACTTTCAAGGGGAAAACTTGTGATTTGTAGTTTGGATTTGAAATATATTTTATGTAACATCAGGCTATAAACATTTCTGACACACTCTCTTATTTAGGCTTTTTTCAACACCCATCCATCCATTTTCCATACAACTGGTCCTCATTAGGATTGCGTTTGAACTGGAGCTTATTACGTCTGACTTTGTGTGAGATGGCGGAATACACCCTGAACTGGTTGCCAGACAATTTCAGAGCTATTGTAATTGTTTGGGTTTTTTGAAGCATGTTTTCCCTCCACTTGTTGGAAGAAAACAAATGTCGATGCCGATGGTGTCACAAATAACATTTTTGTTCCATAAGAAAACACATTCACAAGGTATCAAGTGCCACTATAATCATAGGAATTATTTAACTAATCAGAAGCATCTTTACATGCGGGGCATGACTTCCTATGAAAAGAACTTTAAGATATTCGTGCAACAAAGAAGCGAACACCCAAATAAATACAACACACAAAAAAAAAACCCAAAACGTTTTTTTCGTCTTGTTTTTTTTTTTAAATTTTGGGACGAGCCCCAAACTATCCGTGCTGGAGCCTCTCCAGCTGTCTTCGGGCAGCAGGTTCGGTACACTCTGAACAGGTTGCCAGCTAATCAGGGCCCCAAACTAATGATAGTTTTTTTGTTGTAAGCAGAAACTTTTTGGTGTTTCTCTCTTGTTCTTCACTTTATCCACTACCTCTGGCTATTAATTCTCTTTTGTATTCTCCCCTCACTGACAACGTGCCCCTGCTCATTTTCATTCTTTATTTACTTGTTTGCTTATTTTTTTTTTAAGTTTTTTGCCTCACACCAGCACTCCTGTAGTGTGAACTGTTCTAAGTAGCACTTGTCAGTTTCGCACGGCCCAGCTTCCCCCACCCCCCACGCGTACTTGTTTTCATCTCGAAGTAGTTGTTTACTCCCAAGGCGATCTTTTTTTTCCTCCCCCCGTTTGTGATGGGGAGCCAGATGGAGAGAGAGCATGGTAGTTTCTCGCTCAGAGACAGAGCATAGTGGTGGGCAAAGGGAGATGGATATGCAGGTCTGCAGACAGAAGGTTGGTCGCATAAATCCAGCCCGAGTCGGCCCACAGGGAGCGGTGCTTCCCCCGATTTATCTGCGCTGCTAGTTTCTGCAGCATGCAGGCCATTCTTTTTGTAATTACCCTCTTTGCTCGGCTGGAGGAGAGCGAGGAACCTGGAAGCTGTTCTTCTCACTTAATGGGAGGTAATGGTGTTGCTCTCAAGTAATGGCCTGGCTGGCAGTGAGGCGCTGCGTTATGCAGAGAGGCGCCACGTGCAATGAGATAAAAAGACCTGTTTTCTTGTCTTCATAAGCCTCCGCATTGTCCTGGTAGAAAACAGTCTTCTGACTCTCAGAAGACAGACCCCTCTGTCCTTTGCATTGCTGCTCTTCGTATCGCTGCTAAAAATCACTTGGGAACCTTTTATTGGTTTCTATTTTAAGGGCTGTTCACACAAGAGAGGAGTATGATAAACTATGAATTGCTTGTTGAATACATGGGGGGAAATCGTGTCTATATGGATCAACAAACTTTCCTCTGTGATTACTTCCATATTACATGGATATAAAATTGTATTTAAACAATGCAAGTTGACGGTGAAATGACTTAACTGTTGAATTGACTGCTAATAATTTTCTTCATCAATCAAGGACCTTTTTTTTTCTCAATAGAAGACATCACACAACACCATTTTCAAAAATGGTCTCATTTTAACCCTTTCATGCACAAATAATGACAACCTACATCAGGATTTTTTTTCTCGAGTGTTTTATGAGTCTTTTGGCATAAAAATAAATAATAATAATTGCATTGGATGGCAACACACATAAGGGTCCATTGTAGTAGTTGATGCACAACCGTGACATTAAGATGCATTAATATAAGAGAAAACAACATTTGAATAGCTGTCTACTCGAGTAACCGCTGTCCCTGAAAGGGTTAAAATCAGGTCTCAAAGTGGAAGAAATTGACAAGTCTTGACTATCGAAACACTGACAAGATTAGTCTGTAAAAAAAAAAAAAAATCAAGTGCAAGTGAATTGTCCGGAGTCGGCATGAGCTTATATGTCATAACTGAGATGTCAATGGTGGACCGCAGTGCTGTTGTGTGCTTGCTCATGACTTGAACCTGAAGCAAGCTACGTCTCTTGCATACATTATAGTCCACGCATAAAAAATAGAATATTATTCAAAAGTCCGATTTAAAGAAAAAAAAAAAACATGTTATTGTAAAAAAAGGTCCCAAATTGGACAGGTTCTGAAAACGACACCCATTGACGTTTATTTTGAAACTGAGGGGATGACGTGTCTAAATTGTTCGTGCCAGAGAGCACTTCTGTTGTCACGACCGCAGCAAGTTGTCGGCCACTGCATGATTGCTGTGTTTTTGCTTTGAAGGGACACTTTGAAAAGCCCTCGCATTGTGTTTCTTCAGATATGAAAACTATTGACTGTGCATGGTTATTCCAGCATTTCAGGCCGTTTTTGCGTATCATAACACTGTCATCTGTACAATTTCTTTATTTTTCTAATCACAGGAAAGTACCCTGATAGGGGGTGCTTAGAGTCGTTACCTTTCCGCTCATGTGTGTGGCTTTCCTGGATTATACAACTGAGTGCACTCGGTATGTCTTGTGCGAAGCACGGCTGCGTTTTAATGTCACGCCGCAACATAAATCCTTTGTCTTGGCCCATTGTAAAAATGTGTCGAGCAGGATAAAGCCTTGAGTCTTGTTTCGATGCGCAACAACGTCCTCTTGCTCATCCACAAACCAATCCCATTATGATCCGGGCTTGATAAGGCCAAACAGGATCGCCTGCAACGAAGGAGCAGCAACGGGGAGCGAATCAAACTGACTGCCTCTTTATCTCATTCCTTGTCTGCTTTACGATCAAGAACTCACTCGGAGGTGCTCTCGGTTGCTAGGCTAAAGATAATGTAAAATTAAGTTCTGTGTAGAGCAGCAGTAATGAAAGCGTTTCCTTCCACTCTCCACTTTCTTAGACTCAACTCCACCCTTCTCCTCTCACAGTCATCTCTCCGTTTCAGTTTGGTACATTGAAGTTGCTTCTTACCTGCACCCACGGCTATAAAATTGCCATGTTGGAGAACCGCATGACCCATTATGATTTTTTTCAAACTTGATTTTCTTTCATTGCCATTCTATTATAGATGACTTGACAGAAAGACCAAATAATGAGACCTTTTTATTTTAATGCTCCATGCCTACGGTCTGAACAACCAAAGCATTTTTTTTTTCATTTCACACATCAAGAGCATGTATTCAGAGTTCCTTCATTGGAACAAATGGACATACCGTAACCAATTTCCGAAGGATGAAGATATATGATGATGACATCAACAGCTCCCAATGTAAAGTCAAATGTTCATTACAACATGATATCAGTTAAACATGTGTGTGTGTGTGTGTGTGTGTGTGTGTGTGTGTGTGTGTGTGTGTGTGTGTGTGTGTGTGTGTGTGTGTGTCTCCACAGACCCTTGTAAAGACAGTGAGAACAGTTTCAACACAATGTGCCGGGTCGAGGCCATCACCCGCCAGCCGCTCTTCTTCGGCTTGCCCGAGTCGTGCCCCCCAGCTAGCGAACCGTTGTGCGGCAGTGACGGCGAAACCTACACCAGCGAGTGTGCCATGAGAACAACGGGCCTGCAGAAAGGCATCAAACTCAGGAAGATTCATGCGGGACGATGCAGGGGGCGGGGTAAGCTTCAACTTCACCTTCCACACTTTCTCTTCGTTCAATCCAATCCATGATGCCGTTCCCCTTCACAACAATGTCATGTGCACAGCCATTCAGAGATCTATCCATCTATCCATTCATTTTCTGACCCGCTTTATCCTCACAAGGGTTGTGGGGTGTGCTGGAGCCTATCCCAGCAGTCTTCAGGACACCCTGAACCGGTTGCCAGCCAATCGCAGGACACACAGAGACGAACAACCATTCGCACTCACAATCACACCAAGGGACAATTTAGAGTGTCCAATCAACCTGCCATGCATGTTTTTGGAATGTGAGAGGAAACAGGAGTACCCGGAGAAAACCCACGCGGGCACGGGGAGAACATGCAAAATCCACACAGGAAGGCCGGAGCTGGAATTGAACCTGGTTCCTCTGCACTGTGAGGTCAACGACTCGCCCACTGTGCTGCCCTTCACAGATCTATTTCTGCTTAATATTTGACGAGGTGGCGTCAAGACCTCACCTCAATCGAACCCCTCTCAGCGGTATAGAGTTGAATCATTCTGAGGGCTTAAGGTCAGTACCTTCCCAACAGTAGCCTCCTCCAGCCTGATAAGAGCCTTCAGGCTGACTATCAGTGTGAGTGGGACAAGAGGAGGAAACCATAGTTAAGAAATAGCTTTCAGCTTGTACCGTTTGTCCGATAGTCCTCTGAAGAAGACCAGTTTCCCCGCTGCGTTTTCATCGGAGCCAAGCTCACGAACAGCAGTGTCGGTTCAGGGCAGCCGGGTGGACAGACTGTAATGTGTTGAACATCAAAATCAAGGACGGACAAAGAGTATCCGTCTCCTTATTGGAGCTGTCTGTCTCAAAGGCTGAGAAACACTGAACACCGCAACATTCAACCCCTGATAACGTCGTCGGAAATGGTACAGAAATTGCCATATGCTAGTAGCATGCTAGTTTTCTTTTTTTGTTGTTGTTGTTCATTGAATAAACAAGTTTTTCGGTGCTCACTGAAACACACTCAAAAGCAAAAGTTCCAAGTCATAAATGTGTGTGCTTACTCGTGCCTCTCTTTCATCCCTTTCTGTTATGCGCATTTCAAATGAAAGAACAATTCAATTTGAAAAATCAATCCATGAAATCATATCCATTAGGAAATTACAAGTTGGTAACTAATCAGAATGTCCATTTCGACATGCTATTGCACATCCTTGGAGCCCTCTCACTCAGATTGAGGAGCAATGTAATTAAGTGTGGCATGACATGCTTTTAAAGAAAGCGGGGAGAGGAATTGGATTGCTGTACAAATTTGATCCACCGATCAGCAATGAAATAATTTTGAAGCCTTGCGAGCGGTGCGAGAACAGAGGCCTCAAATTGGATTTTCTCACTTCACCGCTAAACTTGCCATTTGACGCAAACAGTTCATCTTTTTCTTCATTTTCCAAATGAATTTCTGCTTAGTGAGTTGAAAAGTAATGAGTGTGGCAGTTTCGACTTTAACTTGGCCGTAAAAATATCATTTCTAGAGTTGACAGTGTTGTAAAACTTTTTGGTGTGGAAGTTTCACGTCAAGCAAAACATGACATCATGAGAGCGTCAGTGACCACAAGGCTACAATCGCCAGCTTTTCTCAAATAGTAGGGTGTGCCACCCTAGGGGGCGTGGTGCAATGCTAGAGGGTGTGCATGTGGTGACCCCAGGCAATGTGCAATTTTTTTTTCTTTTTCTGTATTAGAATAACATTTGGGCGGCCAGTGGTTAGCGTGTCGGCCTCACAGCGCAGAGGTGCAGGGTTCAATCCCGTCTCCGGCCTTCCTGTGTGGAGTTTACATGTTGTCCCCTTGCCTGCGTGGGTTTTCTCCGGGTACTCCAGTTTCGTCCCACACTCCAAAAACATGCACAGCGGGCTGATTGGACACTCTAAATCACAGATGTCAAAGTCAAGGCCCGGGGGCCAGATCTGGCCCGCCGCGTCATTTTATGTGGCCCGCGAAAGCAAATCAAGCATGTCAAGTTCCATGATGCTTGCTAAAGTCTGATCCAAAATTTCAAATTGTCACATGTAATTCACAATAACAGTCATTATTCTTGACTTCTGATTTTGAAAGTAATCATCCATCAATTTGTTGTGCGCTGTGTATGTGTAACATGTGGTGGTGATGAAACATTGATATGGTTTCCCAAAATTCATAACGGCCCTCCAAGGGAAACTGTAACTACAATGTGGCCCGTGACAAAATTTAGTTTGACACCCCTGCTCTAAATTGTCCTTCGGTGTGATTGTGAGCACGAATGGTTGTTCGTCTGTGTGCCCGCGATTAGCTGGCAACCGGTTCAGGGTGTCCCCCGCGTACTGCACAAAGATGGATGGGATAGGCTCCTGCGCCCCCGCGACCCTTGTGAGGATAAAGCGGGTCGAAAAATGGATGGATGGATGGATAGAAAAACATTTTTGACTGGGCCATGTTTGGCTAGTTTTAAAAGTTGTTCGAACGTACTGCAAAGTCGTTCAAACACACATTGACCGAATGGTAAAAATATAAATTTTTGTCCATAATGCCATTGGGAATTGACTTCCACATGTGCAAATATGCGCATTTAAGTCAATACAGTTTACTCATCAAAATTAAAAAAAAAAAGAAAAAGAAAAATAAACACCATATTTTGAGATCTCATGTAATATTTGGAAAAATATACACTGTACGTGTTCCGAATAAAACGTATGTGCACAATAAATCATGGCTGTGCAACCATTTCCAGTTCTGGCCGTATAACCAGTCTGCATTTGGACAGATTCATGACGATGGACTATGGATTTCTGTTTCCTCGTTGCAGAAGAATGTCAGGAGGAGTGTCGTTTCAACGCCGTGTGTCTCGTCGAGCAGCTGAATACTCGCTGCTCGTGCGATCCCATCGAGTGCGACGGGTCCTACAAGCCCGTCTGCGGCAAGGACGGCCACACGTACACCAACGACTGCATGCGCCGCAAGGCCGAGTGCCTGGGCAAGATCCTCATCCCCATCAAGCACGTTGGGCCCTGTGGTGAGTGGACCAAAGGGAGGAGGACGAGGTGTCCTTTTTCCTAACGTCGTAGACTCACAAATGTCTTAAGTGGTTCAATGATGCTCTTTGAATGGGGAGGGGCCACTCGAACCTGTGCCTTCACGTCACTTGTTCATCTTTGAAGCTCATGCCTCCATCTCCGATGACACCCGCATGTTTCATTCATCCACCTCCGCCTCAATCCGTCTTTGTCTCGTCGTCTTGTGTGTTGTCTAAAAAAAAAAGCTGTTCTTTCTTGTTACAGTGCCTCAGTCAGTCTTGTCTGTCTGTCCGTCTTTGTCCATGTTGGCTGTGTCTTCCTGGCTGTCTGGCGACAGGTGGAAAGTGGGGTCACCCAATGGGCGACCTCATCAGATGGATGCTGGGGCGGGGTGAGGCCTTCCGCTTTGCCCCGGGCGGATCCAACAGGAGGGGTCTTGTACCGCTGCTCTTCTTCCAGTCTCTTTGTTTCACTCTTACTCACTGTTATGAACCATGAGGTTGGAGAAGTCTGCCTACTTTTTCTGTTAAATTCCCAAACCCACACACCCAAGTCTTTCTTTTTGTTTGGCTTGCTGTAGTGCACTCAAAATTACCCATATCAGCCTGTTCCCCATTTTCCACAATATTGATTAAAAAGCCTTGCAACAGTTGGTTTCATTTTTTTTTTAATGGTTCGATCCTCCTTCAATTTCAAATAAGTAAATTCTCTTTTCATTCGAAGACGATACAAGTGCAACACAGGATTTAATAAAACTGAGTTTATTGAGGGGATTTTTTTAACACAATTGTCCTTTTCCCCAAATATGATTTTGAAGTATGGTACACAGTTTAGTTAGGTATGCTGCTCTGAAACTGCTACAATTTGCCATTAACCCTAAGGGTTCAAAAGTCATCATTTCCAAGAAAGTTTTGATAAATTCATGACAAAAAGTGGTGCTGAAGCTAATTTAGCAAATTTTCTCTGATGTGCATTAGAATGCGTGCAAAAGTCCACAAAATGTCCTGTTGGATCCACTGTTGTCTACAAATACGCATACAGTGTTAAAAAAAACAGAACTGGTACTTTGTTTACCTCAAACAGTAGTTTAAGTTTGGAAATCTTTCAAATATAAAAATGGCTGACATCCATGCTAACAATGTTAGCACAACAAAGCAACGGCATTGTTTTTACTCATATATTTAATTCGGCGTTCAATTAAAGGTGCAACCATTCTATAAACTCATTTAACTTTGCTGTGGAATTTGGGAAAGCCGAATTTCGCAACAGCAAAATTTCTGTTTAACTGACCAACGTAAATGTTGTCAAATTTTGTTGCCTTGAAATGTTGAGTTTCAACAACCTCTTTTTTTCCAGTATAATTTTGTTAATGTCGTACAGTATTATGTGTTCTGGTGCATTTCACACCATAACACAAAACGTTTCTTTTCGATTGTGATGTTTTTGTATTAGTTTATAAAATGAGACTTCAAAATTATGAAATAGCAAATCATTGGCTGCTGAATGTGCTGCAACCACACCCCACCCAACTGCAAACTGGCAATTGAACACTAAATACTAAGTTCTAGAAAATGGATGCTACTTCATCTTACATCTTTCTTATGCTTACGCGCAACTATAATTTTGAGCTGTGAGAATGCATCCACTTAAGAGGTCAGGTGGTTGGAATATATCCCACTGGGTTTGTCATTGGGCTTGCTGTGACAACGAGGCACTCAAAAAAGTCCATGCCAGTGTGAGGCCTCTGTCCAAACGCTGGCTGCCATGTTGGGCTTTTATTTTTCTCCTTGGCCTTCCACCTTCCCTCTGTGACTTGTCTGCACTCATAATGTACACTGAGACGCTCGAAAGTGGTCACACCAGCCCCGAAAAGAATTTCAGATTTCTCATTACACCCCTTTTGTCGAAGCTGCTTATTTTCTTTGAAAATGTGTCGTCGAAAGGCCAAAAAGCACACGCAAGGTGAATTCTCATGAGGAACTGTGATGTTATTTATGGCAACGATTCTAAGTTATCATGGGGCTTCTTTTTTCTCCTTCAAATGTGAATAGTTGACTATGAGAGCCCATGGGACCATATGCACATCACCAGACTATGTGATTAACACTTTAAGATGTACATACTTTGTTTGTCCTTAGACCAGAACTGAATACCAAACTCAATATCGTGTTGTCTGCATCAGCAGGCGGCGTCCTTCATTACCATGACTTGCCCGCCTGTGCTTGGCATTAATGAAACGGTTGACAGTGCCAACACTGATGTGTTTTGTTTTGTGCCTTCCAACAACTCCACCCACATTTTTGTCTCGTTATTCGACTTCCCTCTCAATATCTCTTCTTCCCGAGCGCATCATGCAGCTAGTTTATGAGTGTGCGTGTGTGTGTGTGTGTGTGTGTGTGTGTGTGTGTGTGTGCGCGCGCGCGCACACGCTTTAATATGTTCTTATTGGAATTTGCATATTATTCAAAACAGAACAGCACAAACGTCAAAGCTTGATTCCGTTTTTTAATTAAACATCAAAAGAGAAAAGCAGAGCAGCCCACCGAGACGGTTAGCTTCGTCAGACTGGTGGTAAGCACAGTTGCACACAAGATACACTTGCACTTTTTTTTTTTTTGGTCTGTCTTGGTAGAACTGAGAGCAGATTAGGTTAGTCACTGTCTTTAAAAAAACACTGCGGAGATTAGCAGCCTTGTAAAAGACTCAAGATACTCGTGTGCATGTGCGCTCAAACCGTAACCCAAAGAGCTCTGGCAACACGACGCAGTGTGAGGTTTCCTCCGCGATGCTCGCATCTTGACAGTTCGGCGGCTCTGTCAGAAAATGTCAGCCTGGTACACAAACGCAATCAGTGCCTCCGGGCTTCAGTTTCATGTCAAGAGGTAGCGTTTGTCTTTCTTTGGCATGCATGCTTGGTGATCCCTGCGTGTCAGTCAAATGTTTTCGTCAACACCTTTACGTTCATGAAATAATTCATAATAATGTTTGCATCCCTTGAATCATTTTAATTGTGGTATTTTACCATAGGCGGCGCGGTGGTCGACAAGTAAGCACGTCTGCCTCACAGTGCAGAGGTGCAGGGTTCGAATCCGGCTCCGGCCTTCCTGTGTGGAGTTTGCATGTTCGCCCCGTGGAAATGGATGGATGGATGGATATTGTATCATAATAACTCTAAAATCATCTACATGCTACTCTGGCTCGTGAGCAGAACTGCAACTCTGCCGTTGCTTTTGTGACACCTTGTCACTGTCTTGTACATTCAATTGAACTGACAATTTTTACTTCAAGACATGAAGTTTAAAAACAGAAAAGTGATGAAACAAATAAAATGAGGGTCAATAGAGCACTTGCGTCAAAACCACTTCCATTGTTTAACTCGGTACCAAAATGCTCACCTACATCATGTACCGTAATTTTAGCATGTGGTGATGAAGCTTCATGCAATTTAGGAAAATGTCTTTCTTGCACTGTCAACAAAAGTGACAACGAATATCGAAATTTTATTCTCATTTAATGCATTCCATCACCCTAATAAAGATCCCCTGAAACGTGGGAGGGTTTGAGTCTGCAAAAAAATTCATACCCAACGGTAAAGTTTAGTTGAAAGGATACTTAAGTTACACTAATCTAAAGTATTACACACTCATACACATTTGCCAAAGAAAAATATTCTTCACTTCCTTTTTAGCTGATTTGATTCTAGGAGCCCGCCCACATAGTACATCCCTTCCAGTAATTTCTTTCAAGAACCAAGTTGCTCAAAGTCTTAAAATATCAGCTTGTTGCAAAATGTGTTCTCCAACATAGTTCAGCATTCGTGGCTACTCTCCCTTTCACCTCCTTCGACGTCACGATGATTCGTCTTGTTGAAATGATTACGTTCCATGTTGAGCTTTTGCCACAGTGCAGTTCAATAATTCCCCAAGTCAAGTGCAATTGATTAAAGCGCCCCAACCACAAAACCCCCGTTCCCGTTAGTCTCATTAGAAGGCGAGACATATCTATTGTGGTTAATTTATGGATAACGGATTGTAAATCCTCACAGATGGCATCGTTAGTCATTTCCCTGTGCGGAACACAAAGATGAATTCTAGTCTGCGGTAGTACAATGATGTTTTTTCTTCCCCCTATTGTTCGATACCAACAACTTGATTTGAAAAAGTAGACAATGATCGATTGTCACAATTATTCATGTGTTCTTAGATGGCCACTTACTAGTCGAGGTATCTTCTGGGATCCTTTATTCATTTATTTTTTCGTCTGTCAGTATATCAGCATATCGGAGGGGTAGGAAATTTCAAATAGATTTTGTTCAATTTGATTTTTACGTTCCTAGCGATGTTTGTGTAGCATTTGGGTGAGAGGTGGAGTAAATCCTGGAGTGGTTACAGTAACTGGATCATGCCTGCCGTATTTTAATCTAACATGCGTGTGTTTGGTATGTCAATGGAGGCTCAGTTGTTTGGCAGAAACCCGTTCAAATACGGCTCGAGCATGCAAACTCCATACAGAACGGCTAAACTGAGATTCCGAAAACCTCTCGACTGTGAGGCGGACATGCTAACCACCTGAATATCTCTCCAGGTTACATACTGTGATACATCGTGTGTATTGCAATGAATTCCCAATTAAGTTATGAACGTTCATAAAGAGGTCGTGGGTTAGATCCCAGCTCCGGCCTTCCTGTGTGGAGTTTGCATGTTGTCCCCGTGCCTGCGTGGGTTTTCCCCGGGTACTCCGGTTTCCTCCCACATTCCAAAAACACGCATTGCAAGCTGATTGAACACTTAAATTTGTCCCTAGGTGTGAGTGTGAGCGCGGATGAGTATTCGTCTCTGTGTGCCCTTCGATTGGCTGGCGACCAGTTCAGGGTGTCCACTGCCTACTGCCTGAAAATGGCTGGGATAGGCTCCAGCACCCCCCCGCGACCCTTGTGAGGACAACGCTCACCGGAAAATGGATGGATGGATAGATGTTCCAAAAAGGGTTGCAGAATTTG